ATAGAGATTTTTACTGGTAAGTGAGCATGGTATCACTGAACTGATGGGGAGGACTGGGAGGGGTTGCATATAATAATTTCAGGTATTCCGACTCTTACTGGACCATTAAAAAATAGTCAGAAATTACCAGTTAAACCAAGTACACACCTTTTTTTTTTTATGATGGCTATGATTTTCTTGATATATCCTGGAGAGACTTGAAAAGAAATAATTACCTCAGCCACTTTCATAGGCAAAAGACTTTTTTATCTCATCATTACAGAAAAGAACTAATAAGTTAGATAATTCCTGATATCTGGTTTAAAGAATTCAGGCTGTCATTTTAGCTACTGATTGAGTTAGATCATCTGTGATGATGTTAGTCCAGCATGCACCAAACTGCATGTCTTCTCCTGAAGAGGTGCAGAAGAAACTTGAGCTGTTGTCAAATATCCATGGAGACATATCATAGTATTAATATAAAGCTCCACGTAGCACCTGAGTAGATATTTAGGATGAGACTCTCCAGTAGAATGGTCCTACTGAAGCTGATGGAAGCCTGGTCAGCCAAGGTATTTGACTTAGGAAATATATGTCTTAAATTTACAGTGGGAGCTTGTTGAAAACAAGAAGAGGCACAGATTGATGCAAGTAGGGCAGTAGAAGAGGGGAGGTAGTTTACACTAAATGTGTATGAGCTTGTCTGCTTTCACAGGGTACAGATCCTAAGATACTTCCTTTATTTTCCTCAAACACAGGTCATGTACAGATGCAAATTTAGATGCAAGAGTCTTGCTTGCTCATAGATATTTTTAGTGAGGAATTTTTATAGAAACCAGGGAAACTAAAATATTTTTGAATTTTAATCCCAGAAGTAAAATATTGAAGGCAAATTATTTTTGGCTGAGATGGAATTGATTATGCTGTTAAAAAAACAAATAATTTACCCCACCAGGTTTTGGGAAGTCAGTTCACTGGAAGGTCGTGATACAAGATGAGAAAATACTAATGGGTGAATATTCAGAAATGTTTGTTGAGAAGTTACAAAAATTGTGGTTAAGGGTAGAGAAATAAATTATTTAGAATTAACACTGCAGGAACAGCAAAAGGGATGCTCATGTTTACAACTGGTCCTTCACTGAAAAATAGAACACAAGAGTGGACTCCAGCTGCAGCATTAGTGGGTTACCAAATAGGAAGCCACAAAATAACAGTTACAATATTTAGGGCCACAGAAAATTGTAAACCCTCATCCCTGTCATTTTCTCAGAAATGGCAATTACCTTCTTCAGTTTTGAATCTTTTAATGAGCAACAAGAGATTCAGTGCCCTTTTGTGTGTGTGGCCTTTATTGTATTTCTTTTCTGATTGGAATTTTCAGCTAGATTTTATAAAGGGAAGGAAACTTGATAGAAATTCATTAAAACACTGTAAAAAGATATATTTAGCTCATTGAATTCATAAACATAACATGTAAACATAGCATTTTTTAGTTCAACCAAGTGTGTCTAATTTTATAATCTCTGGAATCAAATTCAGTCATGGTTATGAGTTTGCCATTGTGATTGGTAGCTGTACCTAAACCAGACATACATTATGCAAGAGATCATTACTGAAGTATTTAATTCACGTCCTGTATTTCCCGGCTAGCAAAGCAGTGGGATTCATTGGAGTGAAATGAAACTGAAACAGAATATAGGCCTCGAGCCAGGGAAAAGAGGAAAAAAACATCCCAGCATGGCTGCAGGCCAGTGCATGCTCTATCACACAGTTGTCAGCCTCCTCCCTTGGCAGTGGCCGAATAACATCTTCAGTTATGGTCTCTGGGTTGGGTTTCTAAAGCTTGCGCTATGTAATACCTCTGACACACAACAGCTCTTCCTTTCGCTGTCATGCACGGTGAGCAGGATGTAGCCTTCGTGAGATCCTTCTCTCTGAACTGCTCCTCATGAGCCACTGTGCAGCTGCAGTGAGGCTGGTGGTGCTTTGAGGCAGGCACTGGCAGTCCTTGAGCATCATTCCAAGCTTCTCCGCTGTGTGTTGGCTGGGAATAATAGAAAGCTGGAGGGTTAGGTTCATGTAAGGAATTTTTCAGCGTCTCAGTGGTTTTCAGCATACTGTGAAAAGAGAAAATAAAGGAAAGTCGAAATTTACAGAAACCAGGTTAGTTGCTTGTCTAACTGGGTTGGATGGGACCACTAATGGAATATTGTTACTGCCTGTAAGAGCAGATTTTCTCTATTGCTTCTTTTTTATGAACTTACAATGATACTAAGTCTCTTCTTTCCCTCCAATGTAAACAAAATGATCACATTTTTTGTCTCTTTATTTCAGCCCTTTGGATGACATAGTCCTGTTATCATTACTGATGTTATTCATGATTTATGTGGTCTGCAACACAAGATCTAATTCACTGCTACTAAATCAAGGCTGCCTCACATACTTGCGAATCACTATAGTTTCTTGCAAAAAGTCTTACAGCCCCGTACAAGCACACTCAAGATGTTCTGCTTGCATTAAAAGGATCAGGCTGCTCAAAAGCTCAAGTATTAAAAATACCTGAACAGCACATCTGGAGTCAGTTATGCTTTTGACAAGCGGGAGGTAAAACAAGAAACCTTTCAGAGGAGAAAAGCAGAAGGATGACAGTTGAAGGATGAATTAAAAACATTGTACCTGGTCTTGAGAACTCTTGAGCTTTTTTATTTTTTACACTTTCCAAATATAAAATCCGTTATTATACCAGGATTCAAAAACAAAGGCAACACGTGCCCAAAGAATTGAAAAACATCATATGGGTCAGAAAACAGAATGACTTTTGAAGAAGAAAATCTGTCTATTATGCATGTGCTGCCTGCAGTTCATCTGACTGCTCTTTAAAATAGACTTTAGCTAGTGCTACATTATATACTCAGATATTCATTAAAAAAAAGTGTTTACCATGTCCTTGGAAGCTGGGATTTTTTTTTCCTCTGCACCATATACAGGTGTTATTTCTGTTACAAACTTCTGCTTTTGAATCTGTAACAGATACAAGGCTGTAGGTATCTTCTGTTGTAATATGCAGTCTTTATACTCCAGCTTGGAATACGCAATTTGACAAAAATATCAGGTGATCAGTTGATGAAGTGTTTAGGAGATTTTGGTGCATTTGTTAGCACATGGTGAAGTAAACAGCTGTGTTTGAAGCAAAAGGCTATAAATAAAAAATGCACTTTGAGGGTCAGAAATCTGTGTAGGGTCCTAAACTTACTTATGTCATAAGTTGACTGATTCAGGTTTATGTCAGTGGGCAGGCTACAGCTGTTGTTCTTGATCTGGCATTTTCTCAGGCTGCCGGAAAGCATCTGCATCACTGGGCATGTTTTGTATATTAGAGCAAGAAGAGCAAAAGCTGCAGGACCTTTACTCTCTGCAGCCAATCAGAAAGAACAGCTGACTCTGATCAGGAGCCAAGCATCTCTCTGCAGCCTCCTGTATGTAAAAAATTAGCTGGAGTAGGCATGGTCTGGTCTGCAAACAGAGACCCTTGCTAGAGACAGTGTTAGTCATACTATAGTATGGGATCAGCTGGGATCCTGGAAGAACAGAGATCTGTATGGAGGTTCTCAGCCTGAAGGAACTGGGCACACAGGTATTTCTTTGTGTCTGTTATGAGTTGGGATTTTTTTCTTTTCCCTTTTATTATGAAAGTCTGCTTGTTTTTTGCCTTTAGCTAAAGATGAGAGAAATTATTTAGAAGCTTTTTATAAGCCTGGAATGAAAGGTTTTAAAGTTATTGACAAACAGCAACAATAATAAAATTATGGACTTGTAAATGGAAGATAAATAGGAATAGCTGTAAGGAGAAATATATTTTAATTTATACTCATTTGTGCTCTTCAGTGACTTTCAAATAATTATGTAGGAATGTTATTTGTCCCTTTTTACAGGAAAATCTTTATATATAAGTCAATAAGACTTTTAACAGAGGGTTCAATAGCAAATGCCATTTGAAAAAATGTTTTAGGGTTGAATGCATGAAGCAACAAGTTAGGGATCTATGTCCTTGCAGTTTTTCATCTCAGGAATACCTGTCATCACTCAGTGTAGTAATGATTTTATATATTTTTCTTATGTCAGAATTTCAGAGAAGGAATAAATGGAGTTATTTATAGACTCTTTTCCTATAATTATAAATGTGATCTATACTCAAGGTTAAAAGAAATGTAGAGGGTCTATGTCGGGAAATGTTAATTAATCGTGTTGGGTTAGATTTATAAGTATGCCTTTAATAGTGGAACATGATACACCAGTGGCTAAACCATACTTCAATTTGAGTTGACCTAAAGTTATAATACCATTTTTTTCCTAAAGTTACAGTAAAAGTGGCAAAACCAGGGTTTCTTTTTTTCCATGTTTGCAGTGTTATGCTGAGATGCTGTATTACAAGTAGCTGTTTTCAGTGGTGGAAGTAAAATATGTTCCCTTGTTTGCTGTAGTATCTTTTTTCAGATGTGAGTGCTTTGAAATAAATAACAAAACATTGTATCGTATTTATATGACCATTAAGTATAGCTGTAGTTTCTTCTGGTTACACTTGGACTGAAAACACCAGGCATTACAGAGATGTTTTACACCAATATTTTTTTGGCTATTAAGCAGGTGGGAAACTGGTACAAGGTCATAAGGAACATAATAGCCAATAATGTATCATTTAGATATATATGTAGGTAGGTATAGAATAACAATGTGGTCCAGTTTTGTGCATAAAAATGACACCTTTTTCTATAATCCTATATGTATTTTCTGAGCTGTACAGAGTTATCCAATTGACTTTAACTGTTTTTAACCTTTACAATTATCAACTCTAAATAATACTACCAACTGTATGCCTTAACCAAAACCTCTTTGTGCTTCTGTCATCCATTGAAACAGAAACATGAAGGAAAATGAGCCACTGAGACTTTACAAGTGATGCATTGCTTCCGTCAAAGCAATGCATTTTTAAATCATGCTTTCATTTGTCTTTTCCTTGACAGGAGGCATTGTTGATAAGGACCTTCGTCACTACCTCAATTTGCGGTTCCAGAAAGGTTCGGTAGACCATGAGCTCCAGCAGATTATAAGAGACAATCTCTACCTCCGCACAGTGCCATGTGAGTAAGGTGGAGATGAACAAATCTTTCTTCTTAGTGGCAACAGACTGTCTGAATTAATGCTGCTGAGGCCATCCATAAGGCATGAAGGAATAGACTGTAGATGAAGCAGTCTACCTGTAAATAGAGTTCTGGCTTGGTTCATGTCTTCCACATTACTGCTGAGAAACTGAGCTGTGTAATGCTGAATTAATTTCTGAAAGCACATAGTATTTTCAGTGTTGTGGCTCTCGTAAACTGTGGCTCTAGAATTATAATCTTTTTCTCCTGCAGTTTTAGAAAGCGCAAAGTCAAAAGACCTGGGCTGATTAAATTGATGGCCAGCAGAGAGAGCTTGATTTGCTTGTATTTCACCGTATTATACGTTTCATAATAGTACTGTGGGGTTTGGAATGCAATAGGGCAACAGAGGAAATGCAAACTAGGAAAACTGGTTGTTTAGGTGCAGCAGGCATGGCAATGAAAGTTCATATTCTCTTCCATATGTGTTCTTTTGTGGTTGCATAAGTCAATAGTTTGTAATTTAAAATATTCTGAAATCTCTAGAATAATTTTTGCAGTTATTGACATTATTCATCTGTGCCTGCAGTGGGCATGAAATTAAGCAAAGTAACCTAAGCCATGCCCTCCTCTTAGGGCCATGCCTTTCAGAACAGATTTACTTGTCTGATGGACAATATAGCACTTAAAACGGAATGAAGTTCTATTATTCTTCCCTCATAAAAATTATTGCTTAGTAGACAAAAAATGGGCCTTCTGGTTTTGGCAAAAAAAGGGTGCATCTCAGAACTTGCAGATTTGACACTGGAATGACAGAGGAAGGTACACTGAGTAAGTAACTTTGCTATTTGTATGGTAATGAGTGGATGCTCTTTGAAAGCTATGTTATTTTGAATGCTAATGTATGTTTTTTCTTTCATTACATTAAAGAATGGAGCCTCGAAAAGCTCCACCAAAAAAAGATGCACATTTCCCTTTTCCTATTTCCCTTTGCTTGAAGATAAATAGAGTTTTAATTTCAGGAGTTCCATTTGTCCCTGATTAGAAAGGAAGGTGGAGAAAAACATTAAAAACAATACCTGTATGCAGAAAGTCAAAACTATTACATTCATGTGAGATTTATGATGAATTAGGTTTGTCTGAAGGTACTGAGAAACATCACAGCTGAAGTGCAAATGCAAGTACAAATATGTTTCAAGATTAAGTACCACTTCTTAGGATGTTTGGGAGGATCTTTAGTATATAAAGATTAGAAACTATATTTAGTCTATAGATTATTATAGTCCCAGCCCCTGCTTGTTAATGATGGAGATCAGATTAAAAAGGAAAACACAGCAATACTGCAACTACTGCATGTGTGTAACAGATACTGTCTGATGTCACTATGGGCATGATGAGTAGTTTTGACGTTTGTTTTGGCTTTAATCAAGGCAATAATAAAGGGTTGTTATTTCTCAAGTGAAATGCAGTACTCAGAAGCCAAAAGTACTCCTTCAAAAAGTAGCAGTACAACCACAAAGACCTCAATTTGAAACCTATAAACACTTAATACTGCCTTTCCTTTCTGCTGTGACTTCTCCATCTTCTCTGTCTGGTTAGATTCATAGGTCATTATCATATTACATAATGAGCATCTTTAACTAAGAACCCTTGCTCATTGCAGGGGGATAGACTAGATGGCCTTTGAAGGTCCCTTCCAAACCAAACTATTCTATGATTCTGTGATTTTCAAAAATAATAGTGTTGCAAATGACAGCTGCCAAATTGCTAGGTAAGCAGACCTGATTTTGAATAGAGTGGAAGACTTTTCAATAGAGGTGGTAAAAAAGGATAGAGCAAAGTAGTGCACAAGTGGCACATTTTCTTTGAAATTTTCTTGAACATTCTATGAAAGTAGCCCTTCTGAAACATGGGTGCTTTAAAATAAAGAAATGAACAAATGAAGAGAGGGGAGTTATGTGGTTAGCTAAAGAAGTTTCCATAATCAGGTAAATGAAAAGGACATCATCGTATAGACTGCAACCCAGATTTCCCCTAAATCATAATGTCAATCTTTTTTAATTCAATTTTATTCTATCTTCAGCATTCATGTTTAGGAGGAAAACAGTTTTCACCAATTTTCTTTTTTTTATATAATTTAACTGAGTTTTGAATCCTGAATTTACTTGAAGCTCTGTACATAGGCTAAATGTAATGGTTAAGTGTCCAAACACTGTATTTTAGAACTGGTAGGGAGATTACTGCTATGCAGCACTAATATTTAACTGACAATACCATTGCCTCCAAGTTCACTTAATGAATACAGACTAAACATATACTTACTACAAATCTTGTGCTGGGTGCCAGCAAAGCAAAAGCAGCACTCAATTTGGTCAAATTCTTGTGCAGAAGAATAAAGAGAAAAAGCCAACTAGAGGCAACATAGCCTTTAATTCCAATGACAAGGTTGTAACACAAAGAGAAAAAGAAATCTGAACAATAAGTGGCAACGTTTTCCCTTTAAAAATGCACCTACAATCTTTCCTCAGTTATAGAGGTATAATTGTCAGTGAATCCAGGAGAACCTTTATAAGAAAGTCCTTGACCCTGAGTTTTTACTGTTCTTTCCTCTCTGTTCGGACTGACAACACTGGCCCTAGTAGTGCAGGGGCTACGATCACTGGTTTCTCAGCCTTCCAGGTCAAACTAAGACATCTTTCACTTATATTAAATGAGTGACTATACTCTCTGAAAATAGGAAGCAGAGAACTAAGTCCGTACCTGTTTTAAATCAGGATAAGCCAAATGCAGCTAGAACAGATAAGTCAGTACTTACTGTAAAAGAATTTGAATTGTACAATATACAGGACATCCCTGTGTGCACCTAAGGATGGATGGGCCAGAATCTCATGATATGAGGGTAATGGATCAATTCTACCCTCAGAAACTGTGGCCTCAGTGGATGTGGTGAATTGGTTTGGTTTGTGATCCTTACACTTCTCTATTTTTACTAATGCACTGCCACTCTCTACCAAATCAGAAATGACCGTGTAACCCTCAGAGTCAAATGCTGCCTTCCATAAGTGGTTGCAGTTTTCAGTGCCATGTGAAATTGATTTTCCCTGCATTGTCAACAGGAATTACATGCATATATCCCAGGGCAGAATGTGCGATTGTGTTTGCAGTAGTTGAGATGCAGTCGTTAACTAGCTGTGTCCCCAGAGCTGTGTGACAGCAGTAATGGAAGTGATACATAAACAAGAAAAAGAAGAAAAAGTTCTGTTAATTTGAAGCTGAGTTAGAACAGCAATAAAGCTGTCACCAGACAAGGTCAAGAAACTGAAACTTTTTTAAAGATACAGTATTGCAAATGATATAAAAGAAAATGCGCATTCTGGAGAAGGAAGACTGGGCAGTGGTCTTCTATCAGGACACAGCTCTGGTTTTAATGCAAGCAGGAGGATTGGACTTCAGGTGTTGGGAAACCAAAAGTAATAAAGGTGACAAATACTCTGAGCATCTCGGAGGAAACAAACAATGACAAAAGACAGTTCTGGGGGGAAGAATGGTTCGTAATTTTCCAAGTTCAGAAGACACAGTTTTTTCTTGTGCATTTTCTTCCCCTTTGTCTATTCTGGGGCATTTTAGCATAGTTTTCATACCCTAAATTTATTCCTGAAGTTATTTAGGAGCAGTAAACCATTGAAGTTGTCCTAGAACACAGAAGAATAGCCGTGGTACGGAGCAGTAGTTGTTAAACACAGGTAAGCGTTATCTGACCCTCCCTGTCCAAGTCCAGGGATCTGGAGAAAGGCCATGAAACACATGTAGGACTCTGAATGTTCTAGGCAGACAACAACTTCATCATGCTGCGCCCTGTGCTTGGTAGTGCTGGCGGCAAACTGCAGTTGCCATGTGGGCAAGCAGCTTTCCAGTCTTCACTAAAGTGAGGAGAGAGAGCTCTGTGTCATCACAGGAATAAAGCTTTGAGGAGTGTATGCAACAAGAAAGCGGTTTTGGTAGTGACAGTCATTGTCAGACCTGTCTCCTTTGATATATTCTACCAAGCAACTTCAAGTTCCATTTCTTTAAGAGCTGGCAAAACAGCAGCTGTGTTTGAAAATAGTCTGTATGTTTCCTTCCCAGACAGGGAATATGAAATGATAGTGGAAGATACAGTGATTAAACAGCACTGTAAAATGTCAAACAATGACAAGCTGATTCATAAAAGTAAATCGTCATCTATTAATTTAAAGAGATTCTCATTGCTGTCTTCTGGGATATAACCCCACATTGACAGTAGCTTCAGTGAATTACTCTATGCCACTCACTGATTTACAACAGTGGAGGATGCAGCCCAGAAATGTATCCTCTACAGTAATAATGTGAAATTATAATTAAAAAAAAAACAAACAAACAAACCCCAAACCAGCAAAGTAAAAAAAGAATAATGGGAATGAGAAAGTTTCGTTTCTACTCTTTGCATTTAGAAAAAGAAAATTATGATGAAAGACTGGAGAGGACTCTGTGTCTCAGGCTTACTGCACTGGATAATGCAGTATTGCTATTAACACAGAAGTCTTGGAGGAAGGAGGGTTTATTTAAGATATTTGTGAGCAACATAGGAAAAAGGGTCAGTTTGTGATAGCCACATGCATATGTAAGTGACCAGGAGCAAGAAATGCAGTTGTAATGTGCAGCAGTTTCCCACATACCAAACAGTGATAATGATTCCTCCTTTTGCTATGTTTGCTTATTGACATTATGATTGCTCTGTGTTAGGTTATAGTTTACACGCTGAACTCTAAATATGAAACCTATGAACACTTAATAATATCCTTCATTTCTGCTGTGACTTAATTTTTTTAATGCATCTTCTATGAATGATTAGATTCTTGGGTCATTTTAAGTGACTTTAAACAAAAGCCACATTTTCAAATGTGGTTTTATTCTATTTTAGTATAATTTGGTCAATGTATAAATAAATTTAACCTACATGCTGCATTATTGTCTGTGTACTG